AAAAATTCCAATTTCTAATTATGACCTGGGTAATGATAACACAAAGGCATATAAATTTCATATGTTTGTGTCGCTGTTCTGACATCGTTGCACATATATGTGTTTTGTGCAGCCAAGCTAAGATAACGAAAAACCTGAAAGTACATCTTAAGAAATGGACACAAATGGCTGTATCTTAACCTAGAATACACCTCGACTATTGCTTTGAACACAGACACATATGTGAATTTGGAACATATATATAAAAGGACTTGCAACCTGCATATATGTTAAAGTTAAATGCATTTTGTGTTTCAGAAAAGAATATTTTGGTTTTTTTTTTTATATTTGATGAACGTACTGTGTAAAACCATAGTATAGGGAAACACTTTATTGAAGCAGAAGAGCGCAAAAAAAAAAACAAACAAAAAAACATGGGTTACATCAATATATGTTATAAATAACTTCATATGATATAATGTATGAAGAGGGCAACTAATTTTGATTGACTGCATAATAAGTTCAATTAACATACAAACCGAAAGTAAATAGGAAAAAGTGCAATTGTGATCGTTTTATTTTCATGAATATATAAGGGCATACATTAAAATTTAACATTTATCATAAATTTTGATAGATGCATAACACCTAATGACGCAAAATATATTTGAAATATTTACATTTTGCATGGATAACGTGAAACAGACATTCAATTGGAAAAAAAGATAGAAAGTAAAGCATTGCCAGCATAAAATAACAAATAGTGTTTTTTTTTTTTTTAGATGTATATAATTTTTTTTTTTATTTCATCACTATTCCAGGTGAAGCCCTTCGTATATTTTTTCGTGTTTTATTTCAATTTAGTTTACGACGTTGAATATCTTTTAACTTATAATACCTCTTCTCACACACCTAATTTATATCAACAATTTGCTCTATGTTTTGGTGGTAGAAAGTCCAAAAAAAACAAACATAACAGATTAATTCAGAAAACTGTGAAGTTAATTTTCAAGACAAATTTACTCATATGTGACTTGTATGTCAGAAATCATTGTTTGATTCTAATGAAAACATTGTATCCTGCAATAAGCAGGCTGTAGTATAAATAACTGATAAAAAAAATACAAAATTTGCTTTATTAGTATACAAATAACGTTTCCGGTAAACCTCCATTTATGTTGAACCAACGGTACTGTTAAATTTACTATTTACGTCACAGTTGATTAAAGTCCCCTGCAAAGACACGCCGTTTTTTTTGTAAATCAAAGACAACGAAGTTTAATAAACTAGAGGTTCCGAAGAGCCTGTGTTGTTCACTTTTGTTTGTGTGCATTCTCAACAATGGACACTTACCAACATTTAAGACTAGGACATAATTTATGTTTTTTTTTATCGATTTGTATTGCTGATAATTGTGTTCTGTTTTAAATTTCTCTCTGTCTTGTATAGTGTGTACTATAGTGTATGGCAAAAATACAAAAACAAATGGGTTAACATTGTCATTCAATAGCAATAAATTGTGTATAAAATTGACTGACAATTTAAGCTATGTTGACATATATTTAGATCTGATTTTGATGAACATGGTTGTTGTTTACAATTTCCATGTATCTTGTATAGTTTTGTCAAACAATTTAAAAAAGGTAAAAATCGCCATTTAACGAAACTAACTCCAATAAGGACATGTACATGATGTAGGAGTCAATTGACAATTTCTGCAATGCTGGCTTATTTGTAGATCTTGTGTTGCTCATAATTTAGTTTTTCACAGTTTTCCTTTAGCTAATATAGAAATTTTGCTACTATATTTTAGCAAAAAATGCAAACATTAGTAGCAATCGTCTATAAAGGGGAATGACTCGTATAACATTCATAAGGAGATGTCCAATGATGTTGGCAATGTTTAAATCATTCGAAAATGTTGTCTTGTTGGTCAGTATTGATCGTTTTTGTAAAGTTTCTCTTTATCAATTATTTTTTTCAAGATAAAGGCTAAAATACTATTTTTTAATAAAAATCGTTATTGAAGGTAAATTACTCATAACATGAGTCAGCTTATAGTCTGTTTCTATAACGAAACAGTAGATATATCTCGGCATATGTTCGATTCTGCCCTTGTCAGATTTATTTATCTAAAGCGGGTATCAAGATAGTAGACAAACCTGCATTTCATGGTCTTTTGAAAAATCTCATTACAAATTTATTTGCTGTAACTCGTTTAAAGCCCTTATCTGTAACGAAAAAGGAAGGTATGCTATATACACTTACTGGAAATGTGAAGATATGATTGAAGCTTTAAATTTTCTCCAGGACAACATATATGTACGTTTCGACGATATAGAAGTAGGCATTCCCATGGACAGAAACTGCGCCCCTTTAACAACAGATTTATTCCTGTATTGCTATGCATCTCAGTTTATGACCAAACGCAGTAAAGACACGTCATTGTTACATTTGGTTGATACATTCAACAATACCTTCCGTTATCTAGATGATATTTTTTCGTTACATAATCCAGAGTTATCTAAATATACTACCGAAATTTACCCAAAAGAACTTACTTTAACTAAATCTAACTTAAACAGCAGTAGTTGTCCTTTTCTAGATTTGGACATTTCAATCTCTAAAGGAAAACTCCAAACTTAAATTTACGACAAAAGAGACGACTTTTCATTCCCTATTGTTAATTTTCCTTTTTTTAGACGGCGATGTTCCTTTGGCTCCACCATACGGTGTTTATATATCCCAACTTGTTCGTTATGCCCGTGTGTGTAGTGATATCATAGATTTTAACGAACGTAAGCAATGCATCACTGGTAAATTATTTAAATCAGGGATTTCGTTACCATAAATTACGTAAAACTTTTACTAAATTTGTTCATAGATACAAAGATTTGATTAGTAAATATTGCTGTACCTGTAGTAAACTGATTAAAAACGGTATTTCACATCCTAAATGTTACGGTAATATTGTACGTAAAGCGCGGAAATCACCATGTAATCCGTGTAAACTCATCGAACCTTTAAACAAAATTATTAGTAAAGGTTATCTTACCAATGTTGTAATTAGATCTTTGAATATAGTTTACATTGGCACTAATATCGATTTTGTCATCAGCAAATTAAAACATAACTAAATTTGTATTCTTTTCAAACGGGATGAATAAAGACACACACCCACGTTCATTTTGATCTATAACGAGGTTAACTCTTAACTAGCCTACTGCCTGTCGATACATTTATTTTTGGCATTGCACAAGTCATGTCTTCTTTTACTGTCCATGACGTTAAAATACTAAATCCCTGGGATGTGTTTTAGTTGATTTTAGTCTCTAATGCATGATTTTTTTATTATTAATTGTTTTTGGCTTTTAACTAGCTGTCAGTAACTGCGAGTACTCTCAAATCGTACTTTCTTGTTTATGACCTGTTGATACTAATTGTAATGCTTTTTTGTTATTTAATTTTATCCAGGGTTATATCTGGTCTATATACCAGCTTTGATAAGTGTTTGGTATCACTAAAAATTTTCACTTCTTCGTACTATGAACATCAAAATTATTTATTTTGTATAAATATTTCCTTTCTCTATCTGAACTGTACACGTATGCCTCACAACAAAATTATTTGTATTTACCTGTGTTTAAAGTAATTGCACATGGCTGATAATTTTGTTAAAGTATATTGTTTTTCTTAAATTGTTTAACATTTCACAGCATGTTACTTTAATTATTCTTCCCTTAGTTTATTTTTTTTATATTTGCATTTTATCATAGATCAAATTTATTTGTTCAGTGTATGTTCACCGGTGTTAATATGTCTTTTGATTGAGTTAAGCCATTTTAATTGATATTTTATAGTATGTTTTTCTATGTTGTGATGTTACACTATTGTTTCAGATAAGGGTGAAGGTTTGGTACCATTAAAACGTTTAAACCCGCTGCAATTGTTTGCACCTGTCCTAAGTCAGGAATCTGATGTTCAGTAGTTGTCGTTTGTTGATGTGGTTCATAAGTGTTTCTCGTTTCTCATTTTTTATATAGATTAGACCGTTAGTTTTTCCGTTTGAATGGTTTAACACTAGTAATTTGTGGGGCCCTTTGTAGCTTGCTGTTCGGTGTGAGCCAAGGCTCCGTGTTGAAGACCGTACTTTGACCTATAATGGTTTACTTTTATAAATTTTGACTTGGATGGAGGGTTGTCTCATTGGCACTCATATCACATCTTCTTATATCTATAGCATGCCTTTGTTTTCTATTAAGCCAGTTTGGTCATGTTGGTTGACTGGAGGGAACATCAGAAAAAAAATCTAAAATGATGATCGTGGTCAATTAGCTCCATATTTTCAAAGGAGAATATTGTTGTAAAAATTATCGGAAAAACTCACACTGACCATTTTGGCCAAGTGTGGAAAAAAATAAACTTTAAATTACAGTATATCACCAATAATATTATATACATTGTCGTTCAACACAAACAATATAATGCACTCAAGAATGATCGAGTGTTGTCCTGTTTCTAAACTCTGTTGAAAGCATTACATATTTTCCGACCATGTGTTTTACAATGTCATATATACTTGTTGGTAAATTTCTAGATAAAATGTTTGAATCATAATAACTGTATATCTTTTCAGATGTCATCAAACTGTATGCGTGCTTAGTTTAGTGCGGATATCTTTTTATATTGTGTGTTTTTCTTTAGATCTGGATAGTAGGTTTTAACAATTTTGAATCAGAAAACAAGCAAGACAGGACCTAGGTTACATTTTCAAAAATCTTGTTTTATCAATTTACTCTAACATATCTAATCAATATCATTAATGTATTCAAATCGTGAAAGAATTATATATTTTATATGTAGTCGATATGATGATAAAACTAACTATTTCAGAAGGCAAGTAGGTATACTTTGTACAATGATGTATTGTAAAAAAGAGCAATATCAACTCTATATTCATCTTGCATTAACTACATGACTGTATAATGTATTGTTATTTCTCATAATTTAGGTCCTGATTGTTAAACACTAGTCCCAGAACTAGTGTTTACGTCTCCGTTTTTCATGAGTATTCTTTCTTTTAACACAATTGAATCCGATGATTTGTTTAGATTGTCTCTACTTTGGTATGGACTTCTATTCGGCGACGGAATGTCTGTAAAACGTTGCCGATATACGTTATTTGAAATATTCTTTTTCAAAGGGGGAAATCCATTATACCGAATAATTTGTTGAGCAGTCGTATTTTTAGAAAAGGAAACACCCGTTAAATATGTAGCTTCTCTGTAATATCGATTTTCTCTTTTCCTTCCTGGCATTATTCTATAAACCATTCTAAAAAATACTCTCCTGAATTTTGTGCTCATCACAGAATATAATATAAAATTCATCGCAGCATTGAACTGAATCAATGTATTGGAAACGTTGCCAGCAATACGTAAATTATTAATCTCGTGTCTGTTCAGGCTGACATCAGCTGCGTCTAAATACGTGTTATATATAATAAGAGTAGCTGACGGAAGTTGACAAATGATAAAAACAACAGCGACGCCTATAAGCATTAATGTTGTTTTGTGTTGTTCCCACTGCCGTCGGTCACCAGATCTCGTGGCAATTGTATGTGTCATTACTTTCCTTATCTCATTGGCTCTGCACACGGACCTAATTAAAATGGAGTTGAAGCTACACAGTGCTATCAAGGGTATGAAGGTAAACATAAAAGCAAGGAAATAATAATAACCGATACTATATGATTCCTGTTTAGCGAATTCTGTTGTATCTACTCGAACAATAGTCACATTGTCTTCTTTCTCGTAAACTAACTTCCATTCGAAAAATTCGGGAATGGTACACGCAAGTGCACATAATGCCATCACAATAGCAATTATTTTGGCTCTTTTTGGTGTGCAAATAACCCGACCTCTCATTGGGTGACACACAGCAATATATCGTTCAACAGTAAACGTCACAGTCAAAATTACTGAAGCATTTGACCACATGTCCGATAAAACACGTCCATATGGATACCAATGCTTAAAAATATATTCATCTTTAATTGTTTCGTAATGATTGAAACTTAATGTAAAACTAGTGATCAAATATAAACTGTCAAAAACTGCTAAAAACGTCAAATAACAATTTGTTGATGATTTCATTGACGGATTTGTCAACACTGCAATGCTCACAAGGTTACCAGATAACCCAATAATCACAATAATAGGAACCAGTATCTTTTGAACTACAAAACGAGTTAATCGTAAAGTGTCTGCATTTGAAATAACTATATCTGAGACTAATTCTGGACTGTAGGTGAAGTTTAATGTATTTGTCATTCCAATATATTCTACGGCAATAGGAACTGGTTGTTCAACATCAGAGAGGTTCTCCATTCCTATTCAACTAAGTCGGTAGTCTACAAATAGATAGAGAACATAAATGAGTAGAAAAGTTTATGTTGTGGCTTTGAAGATTTGCTCCAGTCTAAATATATTATACGTTTAGATGAAAATAGTTAATTTTCATTCTTTTCTAAATGAAATCAAATTTTGCATGGTACTAAGTAACTTGTTGATGCAGTTAAAAAATTGCACTTTTGTAGTAACAACAGAAAAATCAAATGTGAATATATCCTCCACGAAATTATTGTATTAAATAGTCTGTCTGGATACAGTCTTTTAAGATGTAAAACACCAAACCCACGAGGGAACGTAAGCTTGTAATGCCAATTATGTAAGTCCTAATGTTTGGCTACCAGTAATGACCTTAACGTTATAATAAACCGATTTCCAGATATTGTCCAGATTAGACTTTCAAATTAACACCATGCAAATAAACGTTCATCCCAGCCAGTAATGTGTTTTTTTGCACACAAAACCCGCTTGGTAATCTTTAAATGATATGCAAAATGCTTATAAAATCCCTTTTCAGAGATTTACATAAATAAAGAACATTCAGTTGTTTGATATCGTATATACGCTATTTGACATTAAATGAACCTTTTAAAGATACAAAATTATAAAAAAAAATAGCGATTATTCAGTATTGTGTGACAAAACAATAATATATAGAATATCACAATAATATGTCTCTGGTTGGTCTGTTTTTTAATCATATTTAGTTTGAAAAAAAAGAATAATATTTCATTAATTTTTGGGCAAGCGTATTGGAATTTCGTACATTGTTTTACTTCTAATCTCATTCTGGTTTTAGGCCATATGAGTCGAATGTTTTTAGTGTCATTCATCCTTTATCGTTTGGTTTTGTATGCTAACCACTCATATTTAAATTGACACTGTACACTTTTTCATATACAACAGTGATAGATTTCATAGGAGAAGAAACAATATATGATGCGTATTTATCACAAAATGAGTATTTCGACTTTTAGTGGCTGTTTCTTAAATTATTTCAAAATCTCCTACATATTTTCTTAGTTATTAGTATTGATTATACAAAGCTTCAGTCAATTATCAGTAGTACAACATCAGATGATAAGCAAAAAACTCAAGTTATCTCCTACGTTACATTGCCATGAAATGGAAGCACCTTCCTCATATTAATTCCAAATGCAAGATATATTCTGGAAAATCATTTCCACTGGCACAAATATAACAGTATTTGTTCTTAACGGAATAAAATGCACATACTATTTGTTCTAACTGAAACAGATATTATGACATTGTTTAAAACAAAATTTCAAGAGGAGCTTCTGTAAGGCGGAATCAAATATACGTTGATAACATGAGGGTCCGATAGGGGTGTACAGAATAGAGTCTATTTAGCAAAAACAGAGAAAATTGGGCCAAAAGTAACAAAGAATAGAGAATAATACGTTCTAGATTATAACGTAAACAGATAAATAATGAATTTGAAAAAAAAAATGGTGTAACACTTAGTTAATAAAGAAATTATGTCCCAATCCACCATTCTAAACCCTCGAAGTATTGAAATTATTTAATGGTCGACCCATTTCCTGCACTTAGGATGAACTAACTACATATTCATTTTGTTTATATCCTCATACTTTATTACTATTTTATTAAAATATCCTTTTATCATAAAATTCATTAAAAAAAATTTTTGGACTCTGTCTGATATTTTTTTTTACTTTGGCCTATTTTTTCTGCAATAATGGTCACCAATAACCTACTTTGATACAGTACAATGAAATAAATTTAAACAGCATAGAGCTGTTCACATTTTACTTGTATGCCGGCTTCTTTAATTATCATATAGTACCATTGTGTGGTGATGTAGGACTCTAGTATCAACATTGAAATAAGTTTTATAGTGATATGTATAGCTTCTCAGAAAGAATATACACATGCAAGTGTCAGCAGGATATTTCAATTCTTGCACTTTTCTGTCTTGCTTAGAGTCATTTGCAAAATTAAATGATATAATTTGACACATGTTTTGTCTAAACTATAGTTATGATGTATCACTGCAGTATGAGTTTCCTGTTTTTTTAAATAAACTCATCAGGAAGCAGTATAATTGGTATCCGAATTCCTGCTTTTTCTGATTTTTTCTTGTCTTTGTAGATAAAATAACCTTCATTACTGTGTTATTATTTAAAAAAAAAACATGACAACTATAATTTAATGAGATGTACAAGAGTCTTTAAGATGGATGGAAATACGATTGTTCTAAACACTAGATTTTCATATCGTAGAACCAATTTGACTCGGAAATGGCGATGCACGCCCGACATATACGAAAGAACTTAATCAAAACTGTTCATGATCTTGTAAAAAAAAAAAAAAATTGTTTATTGCCATTATTGTACCTGTATAATACTAAAAGTATCTTAAATTGATGAGTGTATCTTTTGCCAATGTGTTGTAATTGAGTACTTCTTTCGAAACTTGTTATTAAGGATGCACTTAGGTCAGGTTTATGAATTTTTGTCAGATGTTCCGACTTTTTTGGTTTTGTCCTACGATACAGGGTAACATAGTTTTCCCCATTGTTTTTTTTTTTTATTTGCTTTAATAATGCTCTTCTAACTTAAAGTACCAATGGTAAATTCGAGTTTTTTTTTAATTTCACCTACCTACATCCTTAATCATTGTAAAACTAATTCTTTGTTCATATCAATGGTCCTGTCATATAGTGTCATTTTGGCCTAGCAAACTCAACAATTTTCTATTAGTTATGTTTGTAGATATAAGGGGATTTTTGGCAAGTAAAGGATCTCATGCAAAGTTCTACTTATGTTTGTCTTTCTATAAATGTCAGTTGACCTACTTTTCACAGATAAAGAAGCCTTTGAATTTCAACGTTATATTCGGCGTTGCAGTATAACTACCATAGCACCTGATCGCTTATAAGATATAAAACACACAGCGATCCAAAAGAACCACATTTACACGGAATAATCATACTTAATATATGTCGCACATGATGTTTCTTTCTGGAATCTACTTCAGATAATCCCTTGGTCAAAGTTATTCTAAAATCAAATAGGATTTGATGATAAAAAATCAAATCATGTTTTTACACTGTGCCAACACCTGCTATTTTGACTTTTTCTATTAAATTTTGTTATATCTAAATCTTATTATTCTTATCAAAATATTCCAACAGGTGCAAGCATGAACATAAATATGTAAACGACTTAAGGTATAGAACCAATAATTTAGGACCGGTCGGAAAGAACATACAAGAAAGTAGGACATATTTAAAACAAAATAGTTCCTACGCAAAGCTGTATCTTTGTCAATAGATGAAATATTTGGGTAGTTTTGGCATCAAATGAAGGCTTAGGGACTTGGGATCACTATAGAACCCTTTTTGAAAGTTTTTTTTGAATAATAAAGCAGTATATAACATTTCTATAGGAAGGCAAATTTGCCCTGTTGTTCAGATCAGAAGTACCTGTTTTTGTACTATCAAACTTCCGGGAACCAGTACGCTCTAATATGCAACTAAAGGTATGTTGAATTTTTCACCACTTGCCAGGATAAGGTATAGTTTTGACATGAAGTAACTGCCACTTTGTTTGATCTTAATACAAAGTAGCCATTAATGCTTGAAGTTGCATAATTTAACATAGAAAGCAATGGAGCTATGAATTAGTGGTTTTAAACATTATCGAGGGGTACTTTGAAACTTTGAATATGGAGCAGACAGCTATTATATAGAAAAATATTGTCCGCAGGTGACACACGAGACTTTAGATCAAATGTGTCGTATGTATCATTAAACAGTCTCAATATGATTCTTCACACACCCAGCTAAGTGTATATTAAATTTGTTTCATTATGTTGCTTTACAATATATCCAACAACATAATAATATTAAAAGTGATACTGACATCTTGTCTACACTTAGAGTAATTCAGGGCTTTATTTCTGTATGGTATTTGTCTTTTGTTAGAGTGACCGGTGATTAACCCTTTACTATTACATTGTGTCAAATGACAAATAAAATTCAAATGATCACTTTGCTATATTTGAATATTATCGATTGTTAACAAAGGAGAGGCAGTTTCGTTGCTGCAATTGCATTGCATTTTGAAAAATCTTTAATAATCTGTTTATAGTTGTTTACCCATGCAGCATCAATAACGTAGGTTTATTATAACATGTTCTCACCGTTCTTGTTTCAGAAAACCATGTTAAGTATAGTAATGTGATATTGTTATAAAAAAAAGCAGAAAATTTAATGGGAAAGCAATAAATGAAAATAAATAATCTCCGTCGCGATGTTTTCTTGCAAAACAACTCAGTATTGATAATTTTGATTGTTGTTATTTTGCTAAACGATCAGTGGTGAAAGTAACATGAATATTTAGGTTGAGAAAGCTTTCTCTGATACTGCATTTTGTAAGACAACGCATACTTTCCAGATAGAAATAGTAACTTATCAATATACACAAAGAAAGAGGCGGAATATACTAAGGGTGTAGTATATGACCTTGTGTTTAAGGGCAAATTGATTTTATATGGTGATTCTGATCTGCATGTGATGGGAAGTATTAATCAAATGATTACTTTTAATTCCTCTTACATGTCCAATATCAATATCACGAATGTGACTTACCGAATGAGACTATTTACCGGATTTGTAATAACATAAGCAACACGACGGGTGCCACATGTGGAGCAGGATCTGCTTACCCTTCCGGAGCACCTGAGATCACCCCCAGTTTTTGGTGGGGTTCGTGTTGCTTAGTCTTTAGTTTTCTATGTTGTGTCATCTGTACTATTATTTGTCTGTTTGTCTTTTTATTTTTGGCCATGACGTTGTCAGTTTGTTTTCGATCTATGAGTTTGACTGTCCCTCTGGTATCTTTCGTCCCTCTTTTACAAAAGAAAAGGTTTCGAACTGCCGCTTAGTCTTATCCTTACATAACAAACAAAACAACAGTTATCTTTGTTATTTA